AGCGTGGGCTCCCCGGCACCGGGCTTTCCCTCCCTGCGGCAGCCCAGCTATGAGGAGGTGAGCGCCTGGGCTGTCCTCCCGGCACCTTTCCCAGGGCGGCGACAAACGCCGCCTGCGGGCTCTTCTGTCAGGCGAGCCCGGGGCTCGTGTGTCCGGTTGTGAAAGAAACTTGGTGTCGGGCTCGGGTGTGTGCTGTCAGGACGTGGCAGTTTGTTAGAGCAGCTTAAGGAAGAGAAATAGGTCTGAAAAACTGCTCTACAGCATGAGTCAGGTTCAATATGTTCTGTCCTACTGCTTTTGGCATGACCTGGGTGACTTCCTCATGCTCTTGTCCCTTGAGGTCATATTAATTTAGAATTAACAGCCCTTGATTAGTCACACCTGTGCTGGTTTTGGTGACACATTTCTGTGCCCCACAGTGTTGGTGAAGTTGAATGGTTTTGGGAGGGGAAAACTAGGTGTGAAAGTGAACTTCAAGTAACAGAAAGTGCAATACTTTCCAGGACTAGAGTTAAAGCTGAATATTTCTTCTGGTGCTCGTCTTGGAGTGCTAGTAGTATTGTGAAACCACACCTTTATTTCTAATGAGATTCTTTTATTTTTTAGCTAAAAGAAGAGAATGCCAGTTTGAGAAGCAAGATCAATAAGCTTCAGATTCTCTCTGAAACTCAAGCAGACAAGTGCGTAAGCCACAGTATGGGGGAAAGTAACCACATAAGCAAGGAGTTGTCTTAGAAGAGGTGCTCACTGGAAACAGTCAACATCTTTAAAGAAGAAAAATGTAGTTGAAATCTATGCTATTTATTAAAAAGCTTTAACAAACCCATTTTTCTTATTGAAAAAGGCTTGGAAAGTAAGTAGCAAGCTGATATCTGATGCATGTGTTTGTGTGGCTTATGCTTCGTGCAGTTAGGTGGTTAGTGAAAATGAGGGGCTTGACAGGATGCATTGCATAAAGCTTCAGATTAACAAAATAATGAATCTTAATCTCTCTCCTTTGAAGTAAGAAAAGCATTTTTGCTGGTGAGCAACTTTTTGTTGGGAGACTTGAATTTCCTGAGGTTCAACAAGCCTGTGACTGATGTAGGATGGCAATTTCTTAAGTTCCTGTCTGAGTCCTCTGCCCTGTGTTGCTCCTCACAGTGAGGCAGCTGTGACTTCCATCGTGGGGGACTGGGAACAGCCGTGTTTTCTGTGCGGCCTTCCTGCATTCAGCTGCGTAGTTCCCGTTAACACTAATGGATGCTGAATAAAGAAATCCCCTGAGCCACAACCTAGAAGTGTACTCCCGGGGGGATACTTAATTTTTCTTATAACATAAAATAATGAGTTTCTGATCCTTCCGTAGAATTTTCTTCATAAGATATTTAGTGTTACAAGTACTTACTGAACACTGTCTCCTGTTTTTTCAAGGATAAGGAAACTTGAAAAAAAGCTTGAGGAAAACAAAATTAAAGAAGAAAAAGAAGCGCAAGATTTGGAAGCAATGGTGCAGCATGTGGAACAAAATCTCCGGCTGATGACTGTAAGTGGAATCACGCATTCCTGTGTAGCTCAAACCGCCTGCTATATCCGGAGCACTGCTATGGTGTAAATAATCTTTATTCTCTTTCAGAAACGGGCTGTTAAAGCAGAAAACAATGCTACAAAACTGAAACAGGAAAATGCGTTACTTCAGGTATGAAGCAGCATTCTTAAGACCTTTCTGAAAGTACTGGAGCTGAGGGCATGTATCTTGAAATTGAATCTTGATCCTATAAAAAGAATATGGAAAAAAATTTAGCTACGGCTCCCTTTTCCCAGTGAATATGGGAGATGTTCTAGACCAGAATATTTCAGCTCTGCACAGCCCATTAACTTCGCCTCTGGGATGCGCGGTACTTCGCTGACAATTTTGCTGAAGTTTCATGTGATGTTCCAACGCTGTTCAGTATCTGGGACCTATGAATGCTATAATGCAACAGGGCAAATGGGTGTTCAGCTGTAGGAAGGTGCTCGATAGAGAAGGGAGAGAAGCTCGAGAGATGTTACAGAGAGCTCAGCAGGGTTAGGTGACAGCGTCGGTGTCAGGCAGCAGCTTCTGTCCCTGCCATCGGAGGTGGAATACACTCTAGCAGTGGGTCGGTTCTGTGAAGCAAGCAGTGGTGAGGGCTGTGGGGTGGCATGCTGTCAGGAAAATGCTGCATACGTTTTCCGTTTTAATAAAGGCTTTTGAGTTGGAGTTTTCTGTCAGGGGCTGTTTGCCAGAGCTGGGAAGATGCTTTCCCTAGGCGGTCTGGTTATGGGATCACTTCATTAGTTGTTGTACCTAATAACTTGCTGTGTGAATGGATTTATCAGTTGCTTTAGTTGTAAAGTATCTACTGGGGGTTTGTGGTTCCTTCATATAAAACTTGTGTTCATTTCCTCCCTAGGTGCAGCTGAAGAATTACAAGACGGAGAATGAAGCCCTGAGGGCGGGCCAGTCGGCGAGTCTGGCCGTGGTGAAACGAAACGCAGACGTCGCCTTACAGAACCTTCTCACAGTTATAACAAACTCCCGGTCTTCCATCAAGTGAGTTGTTCTAAGATGACTCCTAACGCTATCCCAGATGCTTGTCTGATCACTGAGGTCACAACAAAATGTCCCCAGTGTTTTTTTTAGGGTTGAGACTCAGGCTCTTGTGTTCTGATCAGCTAGCCCATGTTCTCACTTACCTGCCGGGTATTTTCCTCCAAGTTTAGGTAATAAAAATAACTAGAATGGGTGTTATTTTTTTACTTGATGTAAACCCATTATATTTAGACTCTCAAAGTGTCTTATACTCTCTAAGAGTCATATTCCACAGTCTAGATAAACCGCTTTGTGAAAAATCCAATCACATGGGCGCACCCCACCCAAACGCGGCTGCTTTATCCTCTCCTCGGTCTGACGCTGTCTCTCCCCCGCGTTCCAGGCAGCTGGTCTCCGGAGCAGAATCCCTGCAGCTCGTCGCTAATCTTCTTAAATCAATAGACAGAATTTCTGAAATGTCAGAAGATGGACAGTAAAAGTAGAGAAGGGACTCCAGCGGAGAACTTTGCGTTCACACGGAAGCCGTTACTGAGGGTCGATTTCTGACATGCGGAGCTGTTGGCACTCCTGCAGAACAGCTTTTTCCTCCTCTACCCACCGGGTCGCTAGAACCCGAAAGGACACGAGCACGTCCCTTTTCCTGCTCGGCTGGGACCCCACAGCACCCCGGGTTTCAGCCGGGACCCCCCAGTTCTGGCTGGGCTCTTGCCTTTCTCCCCCCACCGGGGTGATCCTTCTGCTGAGGGATGAGAGTTTGGGGGGGTTCGTGCAGCGCGGCGAGCCCCCCGAGCTGCGGCGGGGCTTGGCCTCTGGAGGCGGTTTGTAACGCTCGTCCCGGCCGCGTGTAACGGGTTTTGCGGCGCAATTAAAGCCCCGCAGCGACTAACGGC